CACACATGGGAGTTTGGCCAGTGACTTGTACTTTTCTGTGGCTAGATTGATATGCCAGCAATTCAGTCTTTGGGGGCTTTTTTTCCTTTCTTGCTCTGGTTATACAGTACAGCCATCAACTTCCTCGCTGCAGAAATTATTGCTTGTTTATCACATCTCCAGTTTGGCAAGATCTCTGAAGCAATAAGCTCTCTTTGTTTTGAGAGCATTAAACACAGATTATTTTCCCAAATAGGAATGACAGAGTCACACCCTTTTAATGTCCATACAGCATGAAGTATGTTGCAGAAATCAGAAGCGAGCGAGTCACAACTTGCATGCACTGGTATGAAGGGACAACTTGTCAGTTCCCAGTACCAGTTGTGCCATGCTTGTTTCAATTCATGTTATTTATGTGCTTCATTTTTGGAAAGTAGTGAACAGCAAAGACTAAAAACAAATATAACTTCACTACAACTTGTTTCTCCTATAGCTTTTGCATATTCATTCAGGACAGTTCTTATGATGGTCCTGCTGATACTCTTGTCAGTCCTATAATCCCACTCTACCTCTCAGTCTTTGTTGATCTCTGTTACCATGCCATTCCAAATTCAGTGGGGAAAAACCCCACAGGAATCCAATGGACAGCAAATTCCCCAAATTCAAAGGCACCATGTACTTATTCAGGAAGATTGAACTTACCACGAATGTAGATTGGTGACCCTCTGAACAGTTAGGTCTGTTTACAGTAAAGAAGTTTGGAAGCATGACAATGTGTAGGTGATGTTTCCAGTTACCCTCTCTGGATGGACATTTAGTAATAGTATTTGCTAAACTTGGAGAAAATGATCTCAGAACTTGAAAGTAGGAGATGGAGCATACCCCCGTGACTAAAGGTCTCCTAGTAGTGATAGCTTATGCCGAATTACAGCATCATCAAAATCTTTAATGACATGTTGTAATGACTCTATGCATTTTGAACCTCATCCAGCATTTGCCAGAAATATGCAGAAACTCAATAAGAAACTTCTTCCAGTTCATGAAAAAAGTGTCAGCTCATTCATTATATACTTTGGCAATTAGGAATATGCAATATGAAAACATTTCACATTAGTATATTGCAAAATGTTAATTACTCCTGGTTTTTTTTTTTTGCTTGTTTTTTTTGCCACACACTCACTAGCATCATCATTTCTGAAAAGTGAAAGAAAACAATAATTTTCCCATGCAAAACCAATACAAATCTGAATAAATTGTTGTTTGGTAGCTATGACTGAGCAAGACCACATTATGGTGTTGAAATTAACTTAAAGAGTAAAAGTCTGGGCCATAGTTTTCAAGGACTCCAAAATGAAAAGACATCTTGAAGAAGTAGCAGACCTTCACATGATTCAATATGGACACTGAGAAAAATGTTAACAACTGCTGGAAATGATGACACTGCTGTGATGGCACCTGCCGAAAGTCAGTGGTTCCGAATCAAGAATCCAAAACCCCATGGAGCAGGAGGGGGCCACAAAGCAGGTTTCAGGGCTTTGCCCAAGCAGGGTCATCAGCATTAGACTCACTGGGTTCCCGGGCAGAAAGACAAAGGCCGACTGCATGGGAGTGACGTCCAGGGCACTGAGCCCCACCATTCGAGGCTGAGGCTGAATCCTAAGGAAAGTAGCTTTCTGGTGTTCCCAAGGGCCTCGGGCAATTGCCTTGCTTGCTGGCCTCTAGGTAAAATAACAGTTGTTGTGGCACAGGTGGGCAGTGGAATTTGCATAGCGTGTTGTGTGTAGGAGGGAGTATAAAGAAAAATGTTGAGAACCTCTGCCTACAGCAACCACGACTGGGAGGAGTCACACCTACAAGCGGTTTGCTTCCATGAATCTCATCTACACCCCCCTCAGAGATTAAATTAAATCTAACATAAGGGCACAGCCATAAGGACCCCAGGACTTTCACTAATAGAACAACCCAGTCCAGAGCTAGTTTATCGTATCTACAAAGAAACAGCAAACACTTCATAGACTCCTATAATGAGGGCAACTAATGGGGTTGGGCAGCTGGGATTAATCAGGTCACAAACTACCAGAAATAGCTCACCCCGTCAGTTCTTTGTAGCACCTAGAGGTGAGCACAGATAACGTCTTGTAGCCTTAATCATAGTCAAGCTGTATGCCTGCATTAATTTCTTATACAAGAAATCATCAGATTCCAGAAATCGCCCCTCCCCCTCCACTTCTCCATCTCTCCTCTCCAATCTGTGACCAAACACGTTCAGAGCCTGGAGATCCCTATTAAATTGCAGTGGCCTCCACATAGCCAAATCATAGAGTATGTCATGAAGCCAGAGAGTTTAGGTTACCTAGCAGCTGGCAGTAGTGAGCCTCCCTTCACCCACCAAATGAATGCTACCAAGATTCATCTGCTCTTATAAGAAGTCTACTAAAAATCAAAGGATTCCCCAATCTTCAGAACCATACAGAAGTAGCCTAGAGGCAGAGCAGAGGGCATAGAATCGCTCATCTAGAAATAACTCCTCTTCATATGGCTGGCCCACTGCGTGCTCTTGTCAAACCTTCATGTAAACCCTAATGCATGCAACATAACTGAACAAGCAGAAATTCTGTAACTGAGTGTACATTTACATATAGACTGACATCTCTGACAACTAATCCACAAAAATGCCAACCTCAATGCCAATGCCAGCTCGGTGGGCTCACCCAGTGGATTTATACCAGGGGTGGGTAACCTGCAGCCTGTGCATTGCATGTGGCCCAGTGGGATGCTCTGTGTGACTTGTAAGACATTTTGTTTACCATTGCCCATGCACAGAATTGCCACATTCCTCTGGTTTCTGTCCGTGTAATTTATTTCCTGCTGTCGAGGGGTTGCCCAGACCTCAACAGTCCAGACATCCCCAACATCTTGGCTATGGCTCCCTTTTTGCGGGGCCAACATCAGTCTATCATTAACATCCCTCTTTTAGGGTATATACCCTTACGGTCCATTCCAAAGTGCAGTTCCCCCTACAGGTGCTTTGTGAAACACAATGGCCCAATTCATAGGTGCAAAAAGGCTACTTTGTTTAAAAAGCAAGTTGGGGGTTCCCCAGGAAATGTGCTATGTTCTACAAACCGCTAAACCACTAAGGTTGCAGTAAATTGCACACACACACACACACACACACACACACACAGAAAAAATGTGTGAAATAAGCATATTGTGTTCAACTTCACCTCAAACAATAAACGAACCTTGCTTTTTATAGAAGCTGAGATGGCAACAAATACCTATGAAACACTGTAGATTCACCTCCCCAGGAGATTAAAAAAAGTAACAGAGGTCCACTCACTCATTCCAAAGCCCATCCTCTGCTTTGTGGCTAGAGCATTATTAAGCACTAGTTCTTGAAAATTCAGAAAGCGTGCCTTTATTGTTCCTATCTATCCTGACAGCTGAGCTTCCTGCCTTTACTTCAGTTCATAAGACTTTCAGGAAGCAGTTTATTTTACATTTTGCCTGAAGGACTTTTATGACTCATATAGAGAACTGTGTCATGCTGACTTTTTTCATAATTGTGTCTCCCTACTTGTCATTTATTCCCTTTTCCATTTTTCCCATAACTGAGGTGTGGGGCATCACCAGACCTTGCACCCCCATCCATGGTCAGATGTGAGACTCACCCATCAGGTAAAACAGAAGGTTTATTAGTTGGCAAGGACACAGCGTTCAACAGACTTGTCAGCACAGTAACCAGAAGCAGTCAGTACAATCCATCTTGGGGTGAGGGGGCTCAGAGCCAAGGGCCCTAAAATCCCCTCCCTGCATGCCAAACCAGCTAAGACTAACTCACACATATTTTGGTCCTAGACATCCAACACTCCGGTCATCTGAAGAAGTGGGCTGTGCCCACAAAAGCTCATGATACCATCTACTTGTTTTGTTAGTCTTTAAAATGCTACCAGACTATTTGTGTTTTTTTCAGCCTACAGAAAGCATCAGCCACTATATATATGGGGAAGCCTATCATACCAAAATTCCCATCAACATCTAGGTATTGGTGCAGTGCCCAAGGAACTGAGGCACATGTATGGGGTTACTACAGGACAGTAGTAATCACATGCAACATAACAAGGGGAATAAAATCCCCACAATCCCCACATCGTCACATCCTCCATTGAACATTAGTGCTTTGTAGCCTTTTCTTATTTCCCCTGTACCAAATCTAGTGAGTAGTTATTTAGATATCCTCACTTGTTTTTCAATCCCATTCAGTATTATTGTGCCTTCATTGCAGAAGTAACATAAAAGACACTGAAGTTCATGCTTATCCTGTCCAAGTAGAATATTGCACAAATCATCCTTTTTATTGTTTGCCCCCATTTTTTCCCTATTTCAGTATGACTACACTAGTCATAACCTTGTCAGTTGTTTAAATCTATGGAGAAGAGAGAGAAAATACTCTTGATTGTAATAATCGTGAGTGAAACTGATTTATATTTATATGAGACTTGTGTCATTCTGCTAAAGCAGACAGAGCATTCTGCTAATTCCTAAAACTGTAATTGCCTGTAAAAGCAGCGCTCTCAGGGTCTGACAACAGTCTAGCGGACGGACCACAAAACTTTCCCTGAATAAATCTGCTTCTCTCTCAGAGCTTCCATTTTATTCAATTTTGTGGAAGCATTGCTGGAAAACACATGAGACAGTTCTTGACAAACTCTGGGTTACTGATCAAAATTAGCATAAAATGTTTCACCAATAGTTTGGTTCTAAAGAACCATTGCTATTTTTCAAGCTGGCCAAAACGCTCATATCCTGACAAGTTCACTACCAGCAAATAGTTCCTATAATAAGAGCACTTTCTCTTCAGTCTAGGGAACAAACAGTGACATCCGACTGACATCCGACTACAGTATCTAAAGCAGGAAAATTCAACAAACTTTGAACAATTTTTGGGAAGAATTTCTTGTCTTTTTCTCCCGAAGAAAGTCTTTTGCAAAACTGAAAGGCAGTTACACTGTACTCACCGACCAAATTCCTGTTAGCAGTTCTTGAAAGAGAATTGGAGAATTCCTGAAGTGTGTTGAGCTTGCTTCTCTGATATCAATTCTTGTTGAAGAGAGGACTTGTGGGAGGGGAAGATACAATGAGAAAAAATGCAATCTGATCCTGCTATATCGTAGCTGTAGCAGCCTGCCGATTGCTCCTCTCTTTCCTGTGGAGAAAGGGTCACTCTGGCTAAGATTCAGTGAGATCAGCAGCAGCAGAGAAGCTTCCTGTTTAGAGTGTTGTGACCTCCTCAGCGTTGTAGGGTAACTTTTCTAAATAGCACCAGCCAGGAAAAAAAACATGTTTCCAGCTCACAGGAAACTGAACAAGGCAAAAGTCCAAATGCTAGCTCAGTTTGTGTACATGTCAGCACACTGATAACAGTCATATAGTGACTTCACAGAGATACATGAATAATATTCTGCTTGCATCATATTCCTCTTATGTAATAAAGTGTTGTTCAAACGGGGAATGACATATCTATTATATGCATAGGACTAGATTCAACACAGGGTTTGCATTGGCATTGCTGTATGACAGTTATAACTTTCCCTCTATTGGAATGCCTTATGAGCACCCAATGCAGCCCCAAAATCTGGAAGCACAGGCTTAAAGAGGGGCCTGGTGAGGGCTGTGCAGATACAGGTTATCTCCACAGCATGGTCTGCTGGTTGGGGTTCCTGGTTACGGTTAAAAGCTGCCCCACTGCTCAGACCAGTCTTGGAGGAATTGAGCTGAGTTTAGGTATGGGGGAAGGGTTTTATAGATCTGGATGCAAGCCAGGCAAAATTTGCTATTTTCATTTGAAATTAAAAATAAAATTGTCATCCCCCACCATGTCCCAAACCTCTTTGAATTTCACTCAACTGTGATCTGTAAATTCCAGCAGGTGTTCCTGGGTGGGGGAGCGGGGTCAGCTAGACACAATGGTTCCCTTTCTATATATTGTGAGGCCTAATCCTGTACACACGAGTAACTTTTATTGTGAGCAGTTCTTTTGAAACCAATAGGATTTGTCACATCAATAAAATTACAGGTCTATCAATATGTTTGTAGAGTCACCACTTAGGGTCACAGCCTCTTCAGTAATGATCCCCAAACTTGAATGCTTATTTATCTCCATTATAGAAATTTCTTTCTGGAGAAATCACATATAAAAACCAATAGTCTGAGGGACACACACAGTTTTTGATTAAAAACTGGCTGACCAACATGAATGATGGAAAGTTATCAAATCAAACCAAAGTTCAAATTTTTACTGTAGACAGAAAGCACAAAATGAGGAGCCTCACTCAAAAGACAGCATCTTTCATTTGAAGATGAGCCTGTTTTCTCTTAGGTTTGATGAGGCAGCTCCAGTCCTCCATGTGTACCTTCAGTCCCCACAATTTAGTAACTGATGACCACTTATCTTTGGATTTCTTTGATTTATAATTAGGAGCTGACAGACTGTGACTGAAGCTGAGAGTAGACTTTGAAAATGAAACCAGGATGATCTGAGCTTTCACCATCACTACATAAAGGTTGATAAAGAAAGTCACTTTTACTTACAGGCTATGTCTACACTCACGGCTTCTTGCGTGAGAAATATGCAAATGAGGCTAAGCGTGGAATATTGCCGAGCCTCATTTGCATACCTAGTGAGCCGCCATTTTTGCAGAAGAGGCTCTTGTGACAGAAGAGGCTGTCTACTCTGCCCCTTCTTGCGCAAGAAAACCCCTCTTGAACAATGCCTTTATTCCTGAAAATAATCGGCATAGCAGCACTCCACAAGAGGGTTTTTCTTGCACAAGAAGGGGCAATGTAGATAGCTCCTTCTGGTGCCAGAGCCTCTTCTGCAAAAATGGCGGCTCATTAGGTATGCAAATGAGGCTCAGATATTCCACGCTTAGCCTCATTTGCATATTTCTCACACAAGAAGCCGCGAGTGTAGACATAGCCCTAGTCTGCCTCAAAGCCCACTGCAATCAGTGAAAAGATTCACAGTGTCTGTCAACAACAGGCTTTGGGATCAGGTTCCTGAAATCTTTAAGGTGGTTTTCTTAGTCTTTGGCTTTTATTCAGCAGATTCAGTGAGATGGAATTTGAGAGTTTTAAATTCAGAGTCATTAGAATAGTGTTGGTGTTGGAACATTAGCTCAAGGAGGCCCTTGATTAATTTCTCAAACTGTACAACAAACAAAAGAATGGTCATTGACTCAGGGTGTGTCTAGACTACAGAGTTTTGTCGACAAAAGTGGACTTTTGTCGACAAAACTATACCTGCCTCTACACTACCACCGAGTTCTGTTGACAGTAAGTTGGCAGAACGTGGCAGTTTTGTCGACAGTGGTAAACCTCATTCTATGAGGAATAATGCCTCTTGTCGACAGAGTTCTGTCAACAAAAGACACTATTGCATCCACACTGCTTTTTCAACAGAGTCTAGATGCTCTCTTTTGAAAAAGCAGCTTGCTTTGTCAACAGAACTGGCTGTAGTCTAGACGCTCTTTATTGACAGAGGCTTTGTCAACAGTATCTGTCGACAAAGCCCTGAGCTATCATCATTTTATAAACACATTGGGAATAGTAGAGCAGTGTTACGCCTGTTCTAGGAACTTAATTCTGAATTTCTTAACTTTGTGTGTGTGTGCAGTTTTCTAATCTTCATAGAATTATGCTCTTTTATTGTAATATATGTGCATACACATCAGCCTTCAGTGGAAAGATTACCATAGACTTTGGTAGGATTTAAGAGATTTAAGATTTCTGATGTGATTTATCACAGTGTTCAGTATTTGATCACACTACAATCCACCAGAGAGATGACCTCTAGCTGCCACCATAACTAAGTAAAATTGTAAAGAAGAGACATGTATAAAACTGGAGTAGGCAAGAGACTGGAGATAAACAAACAAAAAGAAACCCTATATGAGCAAATTTGTTTTAGATCTGTGCTCTTTAAAACACTGCTCCCACTTTGCTTCCCTTATCCTAGGTAGTGATCTTTCAATAATCTTCTCCTCCCTTATTCTTGACAATACTAAATGAGTTCTATACATACAGGTCCTTCATTCTGTACCTGGTGTCTGTAATGTAAGGATTGGCTCTCATGCACAGCCAGGCAGATCCACTAGAGTCTAGTGACTAGACAGAGCGATGAATCTTCCCTGAATGTTTTCCCTGCATCTTTATCTTTTTGTTGTCCTAACACCAGGTTGCAGTATGGGGTGCTGCAGGCAGACAGCTAATAGGTATGAGCTCATATCAGGCATCTCTTCTGCTGTTGATATATTCCCTCATGAAATCCCATGATATGAGAAGCTCCACTCTGTCCCAGGACAATCACAGTAAATTAGCAGTACTGCTAACGCTTTGCATTTCCACAGTGACTTCCATCTGAGGATCAGAAAGCGTTTTACAAATATTACCCAACTGTGAGATATGTTTCACTTACGTGAACAACTAAGCAAGTGAGAAGTAAAAGGTTAGCTTGTCAGAGGATCACATACGTGCATATGCCTGGGGTAAGCGTGCAAATCACTGGTGAGTACACATATAGCATACATCATGCACATGGGGTCTTTAGGGCATGTACCTTAGACTTGCACAACCATTGTCATAATTGTGCCACAGCTAATTCTGAAGTTTGGCAGTGTGGATGCTGCAGCTGTGACAGAGCTTTGAGTTGGCTACCCAAGCTCAGACTGGGAGATCTGAGCCGTTGCCAAAGCTGTGCTGTTTACACAGCTATTTTTAACTACTAGCTCAAGCTTGTATAACTGTTTACCCAACCTGGGAGTCTGACCCCCTGCTGCAATGAGACATAACTCCTGTGGTTTAGCCAAGGTTACGCAACATTTCTGTAGAAGAGCTGGGAATACAATCCAAATGTCCGAAGTCCCAGTCCAGTGTTTTAACCACAAGATTGTCCTTTCTCTAAACATATGGGCTACGTCTACACTGGCCCCTTTTCCGGAAGGGGCATGTAAATTTCACCAGTCGTCATAGGGAAATCCGCGGGGGATTTAAATATCCCCCGCGGCATTTAAATAAAAATGTCCGCCGCTTTTTTCCGGCTTTTAAAAAAGCCGGAAAAGAGCGTCTACACTGGCCCCGATCCTCCGGAAAAAGTGCCCTTTTCCGGAGGGTCTTATTCCTACTTCAAAGCTGGAAAAAAGCGGCGGACATTTTTATTTAAATGCCGCGGGGGATATTTAAATCCCCCGCGGATTTCCCTACGACGACTGGTGAAATTTACATGCCCCTTCCGGAAAAGGGGCCAGTGTAGACGTAGCCATGCTGTGTGTTGCCACAAGAGGGGTACATCTGCAACTAACCTATCCCTCCTCCCCTGCCCATGTCAGCTGACTTAAGTTCATGAGGATTGGGCTGCAGGACTGTGAAATTGTGATGTAGCTGTTTGGGCTCAGACTGAAGCCTGGGTTCTCTCACCCTTCCACCTCCTGGAGGCTCAGAACTCAGGTGCCACCTTGAGCCCAAACATCTACACTAATTTTCCAGCCTTGTGTTTGTGCAAACATAACTTAAGTGAGCGAAAACCAACCCAAGATGCTTTTACTGAGCTGTGATTTGTGATTGGACTCACCACAGGAGTTAGTACTTCTAGAAAAGAAAAGAAAAGAAAAGAAAAGAAAAGAAAAGAAAAGAAAAGACCCAGTGGCTGCGTCTAGACTGGCAAGTTTTTCCGCAAAAGAAGCTGCTTTTGCAGAAAATCTTGCCAGCCGTCTACACTGGCCGCTTGGATTTCTACTGTCTGAAATCAGTGCTTCTTGCGGAAATACTATGCTGCTCCCATTCGGGCAAAAGTCCTTTTGTGCAAAGCTTTTGTGCAAAAGGGCCAGTGTAGACAGCTCAGATTTGTTTTGTGCAAAAAAGCCCCGATGGTGAAAATGGCGATCGGGGCTTTTTTTCACAAAAGCGCGTTTGGATTGGCACAGACACTTTTCCGCAAAAAGTGCTTTTGCAGAAAAGTGTCCGTGCCAATCTAGACTCTCTTTTCCGCAAATGCTTTTAACAGAAAACTTTTCCGTTAAAAGCATTTGCAGAAAATCATGCCAGTCTAGATGTAGCCCATGTGTAAGAATACATAAGTAGCCCTTCTCTGCACTACTTTTAATGGAGTTAATTTTGACAGCAGTTTAGATTTTACAGGTGTCTATAAATCAGGTAACAAGGAGTCCTGCTGCAGAGGCGCATGGAGGGGGTCACTCTAAAACCTTCGGTCATATGACAATGGTAAAGAAAAATAGGAAGAGTTGCTTTTTGACACTGACTAAGGAACTTAATTAG